GCCCAATGCAGGGCTCGATCCCAGGACCGACCCTGAGATCATGACCTGAGCCAAAGGCAGAGGCTTAACCTACTGAGCCACCCAGGCACCCCGGCAGGGCACTCTCTACTTTTTTTTTTTTTTTTTTTCCGGCAAGGCGCACTCTCTTGCCCTGCGCAGGAATCCAGCTCAGACTCTCACCTTGGAGACCGCTCTCCCGTGTCCTGCACCCCAGGCTGCCTCTCCCACTACCACGCAGGTTGCGGTGTTCTAAAACTGACAGTTACCAGACAGCTGCCAGATGATAGGATGGAAGATCTGCTGGTCCCTCAAACCCACAGCCACCCCGCAAGTACCACCCATACTCTGTCCCCAGTCTAAAGCATCAGAGTGGAGCAGGGTCTGGACGGCACAGAACCTTTAGCCTAGAGTCTAATGGAATGAGTGTTTTCCTGATTTATGTTATTGCTCTGGTCTCTTCCCTCTCTAGGCCATTCTCCAAGCTATACCCAGAGCTCCAATCCAAGTGATGTCATAACTCTGCTTACAGTTCTGAAGCCTTCACTCCTTGGTGTGATAATCAGTGTCCTTCAAGAACTGGCCCCACCTCCCTCCACCCGTCCCCACTACTTACTGCCCTCATTCTCCAGCCACTCTAAGTGCCCTGTCTATTTAACCCCAGATACCAGGTTGTCAAAGACAGCTATGGGGCTGGTTGCAGGGACAAGCATTCCAAACAAAAGGCACAGCATTTGCTAAGTCCTGCTCCTCGGCCAGAATCATCTCAGAAATCCCTTCCTATGCAAGACCCCTCTGGCGACCGCCTCTCCCTGTAGCCAGCCACTCGGTGACAGAATATGATTCTGCTCCATCACTCAGACAAGAAATTACCCTGCAAACATGTCCCCCTGGAAAGTAAGCTAGCACTTTACGGTGTTTTATCCATTTGGTATCACTAGCAACTTCCTGCATGTGAGCAAGCAAAAATAAACAGAAGAGCCAGGTTCTTGCCTGAGGACTTGGTTAATAGAGCTGGTGTATATAGAAAAAATAACGGTTATAATAATAATGTACAATAATACTAGACACCCCATGTGTCTGGCACCTGCAAGGCTGTACATGTTAACTCATATGATAAGCATCAAAAGCGCCCTGAGGGAAGCCTCTTCACCGGGTCCATCTTACAGATGGGAGAACTGAGGCACAGGGGGTTAAGTATCCTCCCCAAAGGCAACAGAGCCAGAAAGCAGCCCAGCAGGAACGCCAACTCAGACAGTCTGGCTTTGGAGTCTGAGCCCTCATCCATGTCACCATCTGCTTCTCTAAAGGACAGGGACCCAGAGGTGGAAGAGGCAATGACATTGTCTCTTAGGGCCAGGAGGATACAGGAATTCCTTTCGTCCTCCACATCAGCAGAACCTAAAGCTCTTAGCAGGGTGACCTCAGGGAACTTGGGCGTCCAAACTCCACCCAAACCCAAACCCAAACCCAAGGGCGCCAAGCCCCAGCCTTAGCAGCAGAAACTGGCAGGACTGTACCCTCACAGCCAGGAACAGCCCACCTCAGGACCCTTCTCTTTGTCCCCTCCACCAGCCCCACCCCAGCTGCCAAGACCCTGCCTCCCACCCTCCTGCACCTGGCCGCCCCTGGCAGGCAGCCTCAGACCCCTTGTGGAGGAGAAGCTTCCCCCAGCTCTGAGCAGCTGCTAGGCCATGCCGGAGCCGGCAGGCATCTTCTGGGCACCACTCGCCGCCCTGCCAGGCCTGGCATGCCAGCAGATCCACGTTAGGTTGATGGCCCTGCACAGCCCCACGGAGCTGCTATTTTTAATTTAATTGGAGAGTCGGAGGAGAAAGATGGTACCCAGCGAGGGAGTTTTAAAAGCTTTCAGGATGGGGGAGGGGGGAGAGAAAGCGAAGAAAAGTTCGTAATTATACACCAGGCATCCAGATTTGATGCTTGAACAGAAAGGTTAAATGTTGCATTCAGAATAAAATGAGAAAAGAGTCCTGATGACAGTTGCCCAGAGCTAAATAAGGAAAAAAAAAAAAAAATATCCCTTGCCCATCTCTTCTCCAGATCCCTCTTCTCTCATACTTGTTTCTGAGTTTCTCCCCTTCTGCCTTTTAAAGCTCAGGAGCACACAGATAAACCAGTTTGGAGCACAAAGATTACTACTCAGTATGTCAACACTTGATTGCCACCCAAAAGCAGCTTTCACTCATGCCTGAAAAAATCACACATTTTCATTTCTCAAGCCAACAGGTCTAACAGGGCCCAGAAAACTGGGATGGCAGTCTGGCACTGTGGAGAACCACATGGGTACGGATGGACCTATGTTCAAATCCCTTCCCTGCGAAGGGACAGATGCCCTAGGTCATAAGCAGAAGTCTGCTAGTTAAGACTTTCCTATTATAAAGAGATTGACTCAGATGGCACACTCCTTTCATCCTTCCTTTTCAAGCAGGGACTATAGATGTGATGTATGGAGCTGTTGCAGTCATTTTGTGCTCATGAGACAACACACTAAAACTGGAAAAACTGGAAGACAGAAAAAATATAGACATACCTCTGTTCTTCAGGACTGCCTGCTTGTCACATCAAAGAAATCCCCATATGTTTCAGCCACTTCTAGTCTAGTTTTCTAGAAATGCTGAATCTATTCCTAACAGTGTCAATCCTTTATTAGCCTAACCTTGAGTGTGAACTTGAGCAAGAGCTTCACATCACTCAGCTTTGGTTTTCTTATGTGTAAATGGGGACAAATATCACAGTGTGTATGTGAGGACTGAATGTGACTCCATTTGTAATGCACGATGACTGATGACTGCCATTGTTATTCATACTCCTGATTAAGAGGAATGCAATATCAAATTATAAAATTTAAAGTCACCTCTCCTATTTCAATAACATCTTCTAGTTTTCAAAGGGACTTCTCGGGGCGCCTGGGTGGCTCAGTCGTTTAAGCACCTGCCTTCGGTTCAGGTCATGATCCCAGGGTCCTGGGATGGAGCCCCACATTGGGCTCCCTGCTCAGTGGTGAGTCTGCTTCTCCCTCTCCCTCTGCTGCTCCCCCTGCTTGTGCTTTCTCTCACTCTCTCCCCCATTCTCTAGCAAATAAATAAATAAAATATTTTTAAGCCAAAAAATAAGCAAACAAAAAGAGACTTCTCTTTCTTCATCTTAGCTCATCCTCAACCCCAAATCCCCGAAGGAACAAGTATTATTCCCTATTTTATGCCCGGAAGACTCAAGAGAGTTAAGCAACTTGCCCAAGGTAGCTTAGCTAATGACAGGGCCACCTGTAACTCAAATCTGACAGAGTCCCTGGGGCCCAGGCCAAGCTGGCTCTGAACTGTTCTACTACAGGTCCCACTTCCCCTCCTGGGGACCACTGGTGTCTCAAGTTTAGGGATAATGCTGTAGCTGAGACAGTATGGCTCATGTGACAAAGAAAACATGAGCTGGACTGTGGCCTTCAAACTCCCCCTCCTGTGCCTGGAACCTCAGGGTTCCTTGGGCTCCAATCTCCTGCCCACTGCACTCTTTATTCCATTAACATTAGGGAACTGAGAGTCCTGTTCAGAAGCAGTCATACTGGTTGAGAACCCAGATGATTCGAACCCCACTTTCACCACTTACCAGAAATAAAAAAAATTGTTAAATAGTTAGTTCTCTCTGTGTATTAGTCAGGATTTGCAAAACAGCTGCTATAACAAATTACCCCCAAATCTCAGTAGCTGGACAGGGCAGATGTTTCCTCATGTCCCAGTGGAGTGCAGTAGGGCTGGGTGGGGCTTAGGGAGGGGGAGGGGTCTATGCTCCAGTGGGTTATTCAGCCTCTTTCCATCTGCAGCTCTGCCCCCCCCCCATTAGATCTCCACATCCTGCAGGCTGATAGGGCTATTTTAAGGGTCAGGCATTCACTAAACTGGCCAGCACCTTCGGCATGGTCACGTGACCCTACCTAACTATGGTGGGGTGCTGGTAAGTGTAACTCACAGTGTGTCCAGGAAGGAGGGGGCGGTGACCCACCACCCATGGTCCCTGGTGGTCTCAGGGTGATCTCAGGCTACCCCATCGAAAGTAGACAGCCCCCATCCCCCAGAGCACGTGACCTCGGTGCATTCCTTATTTCATTCTTCATGCCTCAAATAGATTTCCTTATCCACTACCCATGTCCCCACAGTGGAGTGCGATCTCCTTGAAACCGGAACCCTCTGGTCTCTCTCGCCCCATAGTCCCTCCGATATCTACCAAATAAATATTACACTAGTAGAAACTCAAACTTTAACAGAATATTGAAATAGCTGGGATTAAGAAAGAGACTGCGGCAGAGGAAGAACAGGGCACTCTGGACCCTTGTCCATCCCGCCCAGTGGGTCCCCAGAGGCTGCCCCAGACCCACCCTGGTCCTCCTGTCCTCACTCTGCGTCTCCCCTAGAGACAGTCTCCCCCCGCCCACCCCCACCGCCATCCATGACAGAAGCCAGCACTGGTTCCAAAGAAGTTGTTTATTTGCAGATGCAAAACAAGGCCCTGGCCACGGGAGGGCTGCCCCTCGGGCTCACCTATAGCAATTTCTCCCTGGCCAGAGAGAATGAGTAAGACTAGAAAAACTTCATCTCTCCCATCCCACCCCCCAACTCCTAGTCAAAAATAACTGGGACCCCAGCAGAAGGTCCCATCTCTCCCGCCCCGGTTAAAACCTACTGAACTGAGAACAGGACAGCCTATGGAAGACGCCAGCGAAAAGTAAGTGGCTATTTGAAGATGATCACTGACCACTCCGCTCCAAATGACAGACCAGCCCCTGGAGACACCGTCCCCGGAGGGCTTCCCTGTCCCCATCTAGGCTGGATCCCACTCTTAAAACAAGATAAAACCCTAGAACCTAAAAAAACATCCTCATGACCTTGGAATTCCAAAGCCAGCCAACTGCTAACCCCAGACCCTGTCACTGGAAATTAATCCCCTGAGCCCTGGGGACCGGGGTCCAGGTCCCTGGAGCTGCCAACAGGTCACAGCCTCTGACTCTCTTCGTACTCCTCTTTGGTCATCCACTCGGACTTGTAGGAAGACAGATGGGCCACAACAGAAGCTCCAAGCCAGACGCTGAAGTTCCTGTTGGAACCCACCCACATGGTGGCCTTGGTGGAGGAGAAATGCTCTGCAATCAGCTCCTTGTACAGGCGCTTGGTGAAGCCAGGGTACAGGGTGTTGCCCCCGCAGGCCATCACGTGGGAGGTGAGCAGCGGGTGCACGGCCGCCTCGCAGGCCAGGATGGCCTCCACCACGGCCTGGGAGATACCGGGCCCTTGTAGGTCGAACACCTGGGGGCTGAAGAACATCTCGGGGGCCAGCCGCTGCATGGGGGTCAGCTCCACTGGGGTGCCGTCGGGAAGCTGGTAGGTGTTGTTTTCATCCGAGCCACTCGGCAGGCTCTGGCGGAAGTCCAGGGCCTCCGCCAGATTCTGGGGCACGTAGCACTTGCTCATCTGGGTGGTGGCCACCGTCTCCAACTGGAACAGGTTGTGGCGATTACAATCCTCCTTGAAGAGGCTCTTGAAGAGATAGGCCGACAGATCCTGGCCCGCGAACTCCAGCGTCTTACCGCCGGACCGCAAGGGGCGGCCCAGGTGGAAGGGCTGCACACGGGTCAGGCCGTAGCCCGAATCCACGACCACGCCGGTCAGGAGGCCGGAGGCGTACAGGGACATCTCCAGCTGGTCGGCCAGCAGGATGGACGGCACATCCTGTAACTCAAACATAATCTGCAAGAAGGGAGAAGCGCCGCTAGGGTATCTCCCCCGCACAAAAGGCCCCGATCCATTTCTGGGTTCTGCTTTCCCCAAGACTGAGCTGCATGCTAAGCTGTCAGAACTGAAACAGGGGCACACCTGTGTCCCCCAGGGACTTGGGGGGGTGCTGCCCTGAGGGGGTGGGGTCCAGGGCCCCTGGAGCTCATGCTGTGGGAACAAGGGAGGCACTAGAGGATGACAAGTTGGATTTGCCCTGGGTGGGGGCAGTTGTTTGAGGACCCCCACTGTTCAGAAGACTGTTTTTTGGTGGTGAGGTGGGAGGAGCTGTCAGCTGCTGCGAAGGAAGGGTGCTGAGATGCTTGGCTCTGTGAGCGGGGACCAGCGGGGCTATGGCCAAGTGGCCGATCTGCTGCCTGACCCATTTCTTTAGAAGACGGAAGAAGAAATTAGGCAAGAAATATGTGCATCATATCCACCACTGCCTCCAGAAAAGGAGGGGGAAGAAGGAAGGAAGGAAGGAGGGTAGGAAGAAGGAAGGAAGGAAGGAAGGGTGGGTGGGTGGAAGGAGGGAGATAACATACTCTCACCTCCTAGTAAATGAAGACTTTTTTTCTCTACGCATCAAGACAAAACTGGAATGCTGACATTTAGGTTTTGGCAAAGTCCCTAGGCTGATCTTCTCCCCCACCCACCACCCCCGCCCAGATCTTTACAGAGCACCCCCGCTGCCTCCCTCATTCCCCGGCTCCAACTGCATCCCAGGTTTCTGACCCTATAGACACAGAAAGGCAGCACTAGTCTGCCCTTCCATGGCCTTTGGCCATGAAGCCACCTCTTCAGGCCCCAGAAGACCCATCTGCCCTACTGAGGGGGAAGGAGCTCCCCCACACCCACACTCAGAATACCGTCCTGCCTCCATCCACTTCCCAAATAGAAGCCCAGTCCCTCTTTTTCAAATAGGAAATGAAATACGAATCCCACTTAAAACTCTCCAGGATCTTCTGATTTATTTAGAGCAGGGGTTGGCGAGCATTTTCTATAAAAGCTAGACAGTTGGGGTTGCCAAATTTAGCAAATAAAAGTACAGGCTGCTCAATTAAATTCAACTTTCAGACAAACAACAAATAATGTTTTCATATACGTATGTCCTGTGCAATACCTGGGACATGCTTACACTAAAGTATGACTTGTTGCTTCTCTGAAATCCAGCTTTAACTAGGCACCACGTAGTTTATCCAGCAAACCTACAGTAAAGAGGTTTCTTAGCCTTTACATAGTATGGATACAGTCTGTGCTGTAACCATCACGGCTCTGCTGATATGGTGTGAAAGTACCCAAAGACAGTATGTAAAAGGGTAGACATGGCTATGTTCCAATAAAACTTTATTTATAAAAACAGATGGGGGGCCAGTTGGGCCCACCAGCTGTAGTTTGCCAAACCTTGATTTAGAGGAAGATCTAAGCACTCCCCATAGCCCCTGGGGTCATGTCTGAATACAAAATGCCAGGCTAGTTCCCATTCATCTTACCTCCAGGGTCTTCCGTCGGTCCGCAGGCTCTCTCAGAGGGGACTCTGTGACCATCACAGGGAAGTCCTCATGCTCCCGTCTGTGTCTCTCCAGCACAAATGACCAGATGTGCTCCACGCCCTCCCAGTTGAGGATACGGCCACGCTGGATGGGGTAGCTAAAGGTATCAGGATGGCAAATGTCGATGCCTAGACTCACGCGCCTCTGGGCATAGCTGGGGCCAGGATTCTCCCTGCACGGGACGTAGTTCACGATGCTCGGGAAGACCATCTGGGGTTCATTCCACCCAGACAAGCCAGCCTTCAGAAAGCCAGACCCATGATCGATGATAATGGTTCTCGCGGCCATGGTGAAGGCAGAAGTGGGAGAGGTCTCCTGGACTTGACTGTGGAGAGAAAGGACGGGGGATTATTCCAGGCGACCATGGGCTGCTGCCCACTCTCTACCCCAGAATCAAACTTCAGGCTTCCCTAAAGTGTGTCCATTTCCCTTCCACGCCTCTGTACAAGCTGTGCCTGCAATATTCTTCCCGTCCCAAACTCCTAATCATCCTACAAAGCCCTGCCTTCAAAGTCCTGCCAAGCCCTCCTTCCCGCCCACCTCTCCCATTGTAATTTGCACACTCATCAGTTACGCCAGGGGCACGCCTCCACCCCACAGGAGCAGAGGTTGGGCCCTGCTGCTCCTAGCAGCCTTTGCAAGAAGTGTTCACCCGGGAAGCTCTCGATGGCCACCTGATTTGAGAACTCAGGGTCAACAGCCTCAGGGCCCACCGCCCTCCACGATAATAGCATAGCAGCAACAGCAGCAAGAACAGTCGTAACCACAGTGACAAGGACAACGACAATGAGGACAATGATGACGAGCAGAGCTATCATTCCTGGGGTGCACACCCTCTGTCTAGCGCCAGGAGAAACACCTCACTCACATGGGAGGTTGAACCGTGTAAATCTGCCGTTCCTGCTGGTCAGAAATGATCGGATGCCTTTTCACATGGCATGAGTGGGTGGTCATTTCATCTTTACCACAACCTGTAAGGCAGGTACCCCTGTTACCCCCATTTTACCAGTGGGGAAACTGAGGCACGGGGGGTTTGAAGTCACTTTCCCAGGGCCACACAGCTGACCAACGGGGCTGACAGTTACAACCAAAGCAGATTCCAAAGGCCACACTCTGAGCATCAGGCTAAGCCTGAGAAGCAGGCTTTGAGGAGGAGCTAGGCGGCTAAGTTACTGCCTAAGAGAGGTGGTACGTGGGGTGTCTGACTATGATCATGGTCAGTTTCGACACCTGGAAAGTGGGGAGAATAAGAACCACCATGCTGGAGAGGTAGGTGTGGTCACTACCTGATTTCCAGACTTACTACAAAACTGCAGGAGCCGAGACAATGTGGCACCGGTGAAAGGTTAGTCACAGAGACACGGGGGACAGAATGACAAGCCCAGACACAGACCTTCCCCAAGTTTGACACGGCGCAAAAACAAGGGAAGGGAGGTTGAACAGTCTTTACAGTAAATGGTGGGGAACAACTGGATATCCACACCCCAAAAAACAAACCTCAATCTGTATGTCACACCTTATTAAAAAACCTCAACATGGATGATAGATCTAACCATACAATCTAAAACGAGAATCCAACTTTTAAAAGAGAGGAGAAAAATCACTGTGAGCTCAATACAGTAAGATTTTCTTAGATAGAGTATCATTTGCTTGGTCCATAAGAGAACAAAATGATAGGCTGGAATTTGCCAAAATTTAAGAAATGTGCACTTTAAAAAAAAAAAAAAGATTTTATTTATTTGAGGGAGAGTGCACAAGCAGTGAGGGGGTGCAGAGGGAGATGGAGAAGCAGACTCCTTGCTGAGCAGGAAGCCTGACTCAGGGCTTGATCCCAAGACCCGGAGATCATGACCTGAGCCGAAGACAGATGCTTAAATGACTGAGCCACCCAGGCACCCCAGAGACTTGCACTTTGAAAGGTACTGTGAAGGGAACAAAAAGACAAGCTACAGACTGGGCGAAAGTATTTGCAAATCTCACATCAGATAAGCAACTTGCACTCAAAAAGTAAAACGAACAAACTCACAGAAACCAACTATAAGAAGAACAATCCGATAGTTCAAGTGGGGGAAAGATTCAAACACATCACAGAAGAAGTTATACGGATGGCAAGGAAACATATGAAAAGAGTTACTAGAAAAATGAATGTTAAAACCACAAAGAGATGGCCCCACCTGGCTAGGAGAACTGCCCATGGTTAGACGCTGACCAGACCCAGCGAAGGGCGAGGACGTGGAGGGCCTGGAGCCTTCATATGCTGCCGGTGGGAAGGCAAAATAAAACACTCTGGGAAACAGTGTGGCAGCTTCACATATAAAGGTAAATGGACACCCACCATACCTAGGATTCCCACTCCGGGGTATTCCCCCAAGGGAAATGAAAACTTACATTCACCCAAACACCCTTATAATCGCTTGATTCATAATTGTCAAAGCCTAGCGACCACCTAATGATCCTTCAGTTGGAGAACAGATGAGCAAATCTCCGTTCAGTGGAGTCATACTCGGCAACAAACAGAAATGAGCAAGTGGTACGTGTGATAACGAGTAAGTCTCCAGAGCACTGCAGGAAAGAAGCCAGACTCAAAAGGAAACAACTGGACAATTTGATTCCCATGACAATTCCAGAAAAGGTAAACATATAAGGACAGAAAACAGGGGGCGCCTGGGTGGCTCAGTTGGCTAAGCATCTGCCTTCAGCTCAAGTCATGATCCCAGGGTCCTGGGATCGAGCCCCGCATAGAGCTCCCTGCTCAGTGGGGAGCCTGCTTCTCCCTCTCCCTCTGCTGCTCCCCCTGCTTATGCGCTTGCTCTCTCACTCTCTCTCTCTGTCAAATAAATAAATAAAATCTTCAAAGAGAGAAAAGAAAACAGATCTGTGGGTGCTAGTGGCCAGGAGTGGAGAGAGGAGGTGACCACAAAGGGTCATGGTAGGATTTGGGGGGATGATGGACTGTGCTATGTCTGGGTCATGAGGGCAAGCATGTGACCATATGTGTTTTTCAACTCTTGCAACTATACACAAAAAAGAGGGATTTTTATTCTAAGTAAAAAATGTTAAGGGAAAAAACCTGTGGGTGTGGGGACCCAAGAAAGTTGACGCCATCACCTTACAGAACACGAACTGTCACACAGCAGACTCCATGCCTAGAACGCATGTGGGTGTTTCTTGTTAGAGAGACAGCCGGGAAGGCAGCGCAGCCCGGAGGTGATTTCTGGGGCTGTCATTCCCCCGGCTATGTGCTCTGCCCCCGTTCTGGGCAGGAGCTGTGCGCACACGTCACTGTGGGGCATGACAGCCACCGCCTGGCCCTGGCCAGTGGCTCCCCACCACCACCAACCTTAGGGCTATGACAAAGCCTTACCACCTTGAAATAACTCTGACATCACACAGGGAGAGCAGAAAGCAAGAGAGCTGGAGCCAAGGTGCTGACCTCTTTGGCCTGCTGGTGGGCTGAGCGTTGGATTCCTCACCCCGAATCACCCAGTGAGGGAGAACTGGGCTCCAGGATGACATCCACCAACCTCCCTGCATCGCAAGAGTAGACTCAGTGATGGATGCTTCCCTGACCCTGGCCTTCTGAATCGGAGGACAGGCTGCTGGAATGACCTCCACCGTGGTTGTGTGTCAGGATGCTCACTGAGTTGGGGTGGTGGTGGAGGGACACCAAGCTGGTGGCCCAAGAGACCTGGCCTGCGAGCAGAAGGCAGGAGGCAGTATGCCATTCCTCTCCTGGGCCATGATGTAGGAAGAAAGTCTGGGGGATGACACGGAGTCCAGCTCCAAGGACAGAGATAAAATCTGCATATTCAAACACATTTTTATGGAGTCACCAATTCTATAAATTCCTACGGAGTACCTATAATGTACCAAGAACCATTCTAGAGCAAGTTGACCAAGTGGTTCCTGCCCTCCTGAACCTTATGCCCTACAGAGAAAGATTGTCAGTAAGCACTAGATCAAATACACCATGCTGGGGGGAGGGCAGTGGGACTCAGTACAATGAGGAAAAATAAAATCTGGTAAGGGGGTGGGGAGAATCAGGAGTACAGAGGTGTGGTGTTGTTCTAGATGAGGCAGTCAGCAGAGGCCTCGCTATCAGGTGACCTGTGAATAGAGAACAGGAGTGAGAGAATAAGGTATTCAATTACCTGGAAAAGTGTCTAAGCCAAAGGGACAGCAGGTGTAAAGGCCCTGAGGAAGAAACTGTGTTCTAGAAGAGCCAGGAGGACCATATAGTGGGGATGTATGTAATGGGCAAGGGGAGGGTGCCAAAGATCTTGAGGGGACCTCGCAGGCCTTCACACTATTTAGAGACTTGAGAAACCAGCAGGGCAGGGGAGCTTAAACAGAGGAATGACATGATCTGACTTGAGTCATATACACACACACCACTTGGGCTGATATGAAAAACCGAGCACAGGGGTCAAGGTAGAAGCAGGGGAGGGAAAGGACATGACAGATGATGGTGGCCTGCATTACAGCAGCAGCCAGAAAAAGGGTGTAAAGTAATCAGACTCTGGAGGTACTTAGGAAAGACCATTACAGTGGAGCATGAGACAAGGAGAAGAATGAAGGAAAACACCAAGATCTGGGGCCTGAAAAGCTGGAAGAAGGAAGTACCCACTTACTGAGATGGAGAAGACTATAGAAGGAGCAGGTCTGAGACAGGGAATAAATCAGGGTTTTTTAATGTTGGACTTGTTAACAGTTTACAATGCCTATTAGTACACGTGATGATGTCTGGAGGCAGAGTCTGCAGATGTCTGAGCTGGAGATATAATTGGAATTTACTGAGCAGATGAAATTGCAAGTTTTGGGGAATGGATGAACTCATGAAGAGACTCGGGGTAGATCAAGACCAGTGCCTGTGGGTAATTTGAGGTCTAGTGGCTGGGCATTGAGAAGGAACCGGTAAAGATGATGAGAAGGAGTGGCTAAGGAGTAAGAAGGCATCCCAGAGGCCAAGCAGAGAAAATATGTCAAGAAGAGGGAAATTAGATGAAGACTGAGAAATATCTGTGGACTTTAGCAACACAGAAGTCACCAATAGCCTTGGCAAGAGTTACATCAGAGCGTCACCAATGGAGAAAAGTTTGAGGGGTGGGAACAGAGATTCTACAAAAATGGCCCCCTGCTCTGCCAAAAGTGCATGTCACAAAAGAAACGTTAAGTGTTCAAAATGGAAGGACAGGGTCACCAATACAAGGTACATTTTCCAGCTGTGGATCAGAGAAATAAAATTACCATGAAGAACATTATCGCAAGCTTCTGTGCGGGCCAGGACA